AAAAATATCCAAAATTTGAATTATAAAATTTAGTTGTTTTTTCGTTCATCAAAAAATACAAAAATTATTGTCTAAAAGTCTTTATTAATAATTTTAATTGGTTATTAAAATTCAACGAATGAATATTTGATTGTTAATGATTCATTAAATTTCTTTGTATATATGATTATTTAAATAAAAACCTTGTCTGTGTAAATCTAGTCATAAATGTGTATAAATTCTTTAATGATTGATAACGATATAATAAAATGTCTCATAGAAGATTTAGTTGATCGTATCTGTTTAATAAACAGTTCATCACCAATTCAAATAAATTCTTCAATATATTATTCATCAAAATCAATTGAAAATAAATTTAATCAATCAATAAATATTCTTAATAATTCAATAAAACAATTATTAAAATATGAATTAAATACAGTTGTTAATAATGGTCAATTAACAACAACATCAAATATTCGACATGGTCGTTATTATAATCCAGCTACAACAATTAAACAAATAAATGATTTAAAAAAACGACTTCATTGGATTCAACAAAGACAAATGATTATAAAACAATTAAATATTAATCAAGATAAAAAAATAAATGAAACAATGTATAGAAAGCAAAAGAAACATTTTGTTTCTATATTTAAAATAAATTTTTGTTTTTTAATATTTTAGTTCGGATGTAAATTTACTTGAAAATATTTGGTTTGAACATCGATTAAAAATGTTAGATAATTCAATAGAATTATTAAAAAAACAAGAAATAGAAGAAGAACAACAACAACAAGAAATTCATGATGATTTATCATGTGCTCGTTGTAGAATTTATCAAAGAAAAAATGATACTGATAATCAATTATTAAAGAAATTAAAACATATTCATCAAGTTCATAATGAACATAATTATTCAACAAGTCATGTACAATATTCTACACCAGGTTTTCTATCTATTTTATAGAAAAATAATTTATTTATTTTATTATTATTTTTAGAATCTGATCTTATTTTATCTTTATCAAAAATCGCTGATGGTATTGGTCACAATTTAAATTCAAATATTTCGAATTCATCAAAAAAACTTCAATCAACAACATCAATAACAACAACAATAACAAAGAAAAAACAACAACAACAACAACAACAACCAAAATTGCAATCATCTATATCTCTTATTGGTGGAGATGCCAATAAAAATACTAAACGAACAATGGAAGAATCTCGAAAAATATCGAACAGTAATTTCATTTCAACTAATTATGATCTTACAAATAAACGACATAAAAGAATAGGTAATTTTAAATTAAAATTTCAATTTTTGAGAATAGAATAATATACTGAAATTTTCTTTTTCAAAGTATATAGAGTTTTTTGTCATCAAACAGTCAGATTTCATTAGATTTACTCGAAAAAAAGATTCCGACTCTACTATCATGATTTTCTTTCAAAAAAGTTCAAAGTATAATCAATATTGTCCTAAATGAGGGTACATTTTTGTTCAATCATGTTTTTTATAATTGATTCCTATGTTGCGAAAGACAAGAGTTAGTTTCGTATGGTTATTTTCTTTTAATGTTTATGTCAGCATCTAGCTAATTAAAATGCTCTTTACAAATGAACGAAAGGGAAATTTTTTTTGTATACAAACAAAAACTGCGTGCAGATGTTGTCTTTAATTGGAGATTAACCTGAGCTCTGTATCTATTCTAATGATCGAGCCTTGGAGGTTATCCGGAAGGTCATAAATAACTTTATCATTAAGCTAGAAATTGAATGTATTGGATTGACATTTTTATAAAAGCTTTTTCTTATGAGGAAATTACAGCCAAAACGGATCATGCTGAGTAGACAATCCATGCTGAGAGTTGAGAAGGAGAGTGTGTAGAATTTTAAAAAAGTCCAAAATACTTTTAGCATAGCTGTCGTTTCAGTAGAAGAAAGAGTCTGGAGAGAAACTCTTAAAATTACAGAAAAAATAAATGTTTGTGTCAGTTGCTTGTAGTAAAATGTAATTTTCAGATAGAATATTTTTATATTCTTTATATTAAGGCCTCCCTCTCCCCTCAAAAATCGATCTCAGCCCAGGTACGTTCAAATGAGCTGAAATTTGAAGGGTATGTTGAAGTTGAAGTGAGGAGGTTATAGTAAAATTTTCAGCTCGATATCCTGATGTTTGACAGAGATATGAATCAGACAAGGATAAAAAATAGCTCATTTGACAACCCATTTTTCTTCATCCGGACTCTTTCGATATATTAAAACTTTCTTTGTTTGAAAGAGCATCTTAGGATGCAAGGCATGACGAGGTCTGTTTTTCAAACACTTACTTTTTAAGCGGAAAAAGGGGATCAGAAGTTTCATGACTCAAAACGCTCTCTAAGAAGGGGTGATGTCTAATTAGATAAATCTCTATATATATAATAAAAACAAAGCTTAATTTAAAAAATGGTCTCCATTATGCCCTGCATCTTGACGTGCTCTTTCAAACAAAAAAATATTTAAATATATTGAATGAGTCTGGAGAGAGAAAAAAGGGTTGCGCGGTCAAGAAAGCAAAAACTGAGAAAAAACGAAAAACATTTTTTGGTTTTTTCAAAATAAGCAGGTTTCTCAAAAAGAGGTTAATGAAAATCATTGAAAATTTTGGCAAAAAATGAGGTGTCGAAGAAAAAACAATAGCGTTTCTGGAAGAGCGGAAAACGGGCTATCTTCCCGTGCATTTATTTCAATTTTGACGAAAACGAACTTTTTTTGAGGGGGGAGGGGGAAGGCTTAAATGTAAACAATGTTATATGTTTCATGTTAATCAATTCATTTATTGAGTTGAAATATATGGAGCAAACCAACATGTGAAGTACAACAGCATAAATATTGACATGTATTCTTACAAATACTATTTGAAAGTATATCTGTTGAATGAATTTAAGCTTTGTTGAAGATTGAACTATGCAATTAAATAGAAATTCCTCAATCAACTGTACATCTTGTAATTATAAAAAGCAAAAACCATTTTGTACAATGTTTTGAAGAAGTTTTTTCTCTTCTTTTATCTCAAAAATACTTCTAAAATGTGTTGAATTTTTAAAATTACAAGATGTATAGATTTTTATTATGAAATTTCGATGTCTTGTTCTATGTAGCGTACGATTAATTCTATGCCAAGTCAAAGAATATCTTTTTTCAGTTAATTTTTTTATTAAGCATAGTGAAGCAACGGTAGCGAGAATTGATACTAAGTACAAATAAAATATGAGTTACGGTTAGACGAAAAATCACACATCAATACGTGGAACTTTTAAAATATTCCGAAACCAAAATCAAATGTTGAATACATGATTGATTTTTCTATTCGATTGTATTACGTTTCACAATGGGAATTAACTAACATTATCTCAATTATTGTGTGGATCATATCTCTTCATAGAAGAAGATTTAGTTCTTGTTATATGTTTAAGAGAAATTTTTTTTTTCTTTTGCATATTTCATGCAAAGATTAAAAAGTCACTAACTGGTAGCAAAAGAAAATTTCTAAGGAGACAAGCAAAATGCAAGATAATATTCAAGGGTAAAGAAATTCTTCTACTTTTCCCTCCTGATTGTATAACTTAGATGTCTACAAATTTTGTAAGCACCATTAGATGTTCCTGATATCTTAGGATTTATGAAGTACAACAATAATCTAGTTGATAACATTTACAATAATAATAATTTTAGTAATGAGTATCACATTTAAGACTTCCTTCAAAAATCGATCTTGGGTAAAGTGCATTGAAATTTTTATGATATGTTGGGACTGTAGTGAGAGACTTCTAATGTGCAACAAACAAAAGGTAAAAATAACTGATTTAGCAAACTAAAATTCTTTATGGACAATCATTCTCTAGATTTAATTTTTATGCGAAGAAAAAAAGATGACAAGTTCAATCCCTCGAAAAATGGTTATCTATTTATATAGAAGTGATTTTTTTTTAATATAATAACAAAAAAGCTTAACTCAAAAGCCGGGCATTACAGTTTCACATGTTCTTTGAAATAAAGAAACAGCAATAGGCTACAATGAAATTCTTTCGAGAATTCTGTGATGCACAATCAAAAAAGTATGAACAGAGAAAAATTGAAAAAAGGTATTCATTTCAAGCAAAAAGGTGGCGGAAGTCACCGTAAAAAATTGAGGTTCTAAATAATAAAATCATGTCGTTTCTAAAAGATCAGATCTCAAACTATGTTCCCATATATTTATTTCAATTTTTCTGACGAAATTTGACTTTTTTTGAGGAAATTTTACATACGATTTAAAAATGAACATAATCATTCCCCTTGAAATTTTGTCGATGTCAATAACTATGAAATGATAAAAATTAATGTTGTTTTCTTTTTTTTTAATTTTATTATCTTAGCTTCTCCACAATCAACATTATCAATATCATCAACAAGCATGACAGGAATGATTAGTAGTTCATCACCTCATGAAATTTTGACACCTAGTTGGCGAATATTAACAAATAATGATTTTGATAATGTATTAAATACTGAAAAATGTTCTGATCAACAAGAAAATGAAGATATATCTGATGAAAGTTATATACATCGTCATATTCGTTGTGAATTAGAACAAGAATCTTGGATAACAAATTCTCCAATATCAAAAAATGTTTCATTAACAACAAATAAAAAAAGTGGAACACTTCAAACATCATTATCTGTACCAAATGGTTTATCAACAACGAATCAAAAACAGTATAAATATCGTTTAACACCTAATGGAGTTGCATATACAGAAACAATTGATACAAAATAATTATTGTTTTTTTTTCATAAAAAAAAATAATAACATAATAACAAAAAAAAAAATAAATCTATTAATCAACGGACATCAAATCTTCGCCTTCTTTTTCTTCTTGCTTTTTTTTGCCTTTTTTTTTGTGTGATTTTTCAACAAATTGTTGTTCTTTTCTATTTGATTGTTCTTCGAACATATAAACTTGTGCTGTTGTATATTCATTAGGTTTATTAATTGGATATGATAATTTAATTCCAAGAATTTCTTCAATCATAAATGGTTTAAGCCAACAAGCAAGTGGAGAATAACCAGATTCATAAAAACCTAATGGATGATATAATAAATAACCATCTTCAGCTTCAATTAAATCTTGTTTATTATCAAGAATTGTATGATCAAGTATTTGAAAATGTTCATTTAATCTTGAATCACCATTTAATGATGTTAACATAAAAAATCGACATTGACATTCAATTTGTGTAGAATAATCTTGTCCATTCCACATTATTATATCAATTATATGATATATGGATGAACGATTATCATATATACAATAAAGAATTGTTTGTTTAGGTAATTTTGTAAACATTGTCCACATGAGATTGCCATATTTTCCATAAACGTGTGTTCGATGTGATTGAACAACAACGAGACAACGTTGACCACGTGGACATGGTATCACAAACCATGATGAAATATCTTCAGGAGCTGTGAATAACCATTCAGCAAGCATCATACCAATAGGACAAGTGGATGATGTGTTTTTACGATGTTGACGAGGAGGCCATTGTGGTTTATTATTTTCGATTGTTTCATTGTCATTAGCTGAAAAACGAAGTTCAGATAATTTTTGTTCTCTTTTTTCTTTTTGTCTTTTTAATACTTCACGACGTCGTTCAATTTGATTTGAAAGAGAAGATACAGAATTTGTTTTCAATTTATATAATGAAAGAGATGATAAATCAAGAATTGGTGTTATACTTGTAGCCATAACACAAAAAAAACAATCTAAAACGAAAAAATATTTCGTGTAAGAATATTTTAAGAATAAATCTTTCGAAATAAATTTATTTTTGAAAATTAACTTTCTTTTTCTTCCCAACCATGTCATTGTTTCATAATACTGAAGCAATTTTCTTGCCTCTGTTTTTTTTTTCATCTCATATAGAAAGAAAAAAGATGACGCATATACACCCAAACACACACGCAGAATATACAAAGACAAATATACGACACAAGCCTTGGTTTTTTGTATTAAGTTTGTTGTTGTTTTTCAACAAGACGTTTTAGCTGTCGATAATAATCATATAAAGGTTTCATAATACGTTTTTGTTCACTGGTTGTTGGTTTTGAATATTTATTTTCAAATCTTAATAGTTCTTGTTGCATATCACTTTTTTCATCAAAAATTTGTTTCGGTGTCATTTGTGAAAGGTCATGTGGACGACCATGTCTTAAACGATGTTTTCCCATACGTTCTTGAATATCACGTGCTTCAATTTCAAGTGGACTTAATTGTTGTTGAGGAGAATTCCAAATATCAGATGAAGGACTTGGAACTGTTACTGATCGTTTTGGATTTACAGTTTGTATTGATGGAGATTGTTCATTCGAGGATAATGGAGTATTTGGAGTATTCGATGTTACAAGTGGAGTTTTTGTTCCTGATGAACCTGGACGACGTACTGGACGAACACTTGTAGATGATGATGATATTGACTAAAAAATATAATTTAATATTAGATTTAATCAAAAGAATTTTAGAATTTATTGTAAATCATTCTTAAATTTTTCATGTTCATTTAAACTATCTTAAAATCAATCTTTCTAATTGATTGAGATCTTATATGAAAACAAATATAGACTAGGCTTGCAACAATGATCATAATTGTTAATCTTTTTGATTACGAAATTTTTGCAAGGATGACAAAAATATTTGCATTTTCTCAGAGAAGTCTGAAAACAGGTATATATATTAAAGGAACACAACAAATTGCGTTATACTTTAATCAACACCATGTAATTCAGTGCTCGCAGAGCCGTCTAAAACATTGAAAAATCCTTTGCATAGCTCCATGAATTAATCCTATGGGTTCATATTATAATATAGATTTAATAAAATTCAACATTTGCTCTTATGTAAGATTAGAACTTGAGTAATAATTAAAACTTTCTAGGCTGACAAATTTTTTTAAGGATTTCTGTTTGATTTCACAAAGCGTTGAACGATTTTAGATATAAAAATTGTGTCAATTCGCATAGACCTCTATGACCCTACTTGATATTCATATACAATAATATTATATCATGATGCTTTGATATTCAAAGCATAAGAAAAAAAGAGTACACTATGACCGAAGAAAAAGAAAAGATTATAAAAGTTATTACCTGCATAAAAGCTAACCCCGCGCATATATGTACGAGTCCCGTAATCAAAGGGCGTTACGTATAGATCATCAATTTATGCCAGAAGTTGATAGTATGATTTAACTAATAAATTATACTATCAAATTAGAGTTGTGTAGAATAATTCTATCGTATTCTACAGCGTAGGGTAGAGTGAGCATGAAAAAAAATCTACAGTAGACTAACAAAATATCATTTAGATAGGATATGAAAACAGTTTATCCTGCTTATCTCTATATCAAATCTTAACCCATATCGATAAAATGGTGATTTATCATAATTGCTCTGTTTCTGACTTAGATTTTATCGTATTCGAAGCAATAGAGTCAGATATACAATTAGTAGAATTCAGTATGATTAGCTTCATTAGTTGTTGAACTGCTTCGTTTTTTTTTATCGATAGAATCTGTTAACTTCCACTACACTTTATAGAAATACATCATTTTTAATTATTGCATTTCTCATTATTGAAATTTCACACTTAACGTGCAAAGAATGAAAAGAGAAAAAAATCCAATCAGAGCTCTTAGTCATAAGTCTATAAAATCTACATAATAAAAATTTCTAATAAAATCTTACATCTTTAGGACTATAAACAGTTTTTTTTGGTTTAATAGTAATTACCGTATTAGCTGTTGGTTTAATTGTTGAAATAGGTTGTTGTTCTAATAAAATATTTGAATTTAAAGAAGAAAAATCAAGTGGAGGAACATTATTTGTACGTTGATGTTGAGTATTTGAATGTTTTGATGATGACGATGATGATGATGTATGATAATGAGATTGTTTTGGTGTCATTATCATTGATGAACCATTTGGATTTGAATATGATGTTAAAAGTGTAAAAGCTTTGGGAAATGATTGTGAAAAACGATAATAATGATCTGATGGTGTTATACCACGAAATAAAAATCCATCAATAGCTAAATCAATACAATCACGTAGAAGATTATTTGTTGATATTGAACTCATTAATGAAGCATTAGTATCGTTTATAATCGACATCGTTGTTATTTCTTTTTTGTATTTTATATGATACAAAAGAAACTTAATTGACTAAGTAACAGTATATTATAAAGAAGGAAACAACGGATTGTTCGTTAGCAACCAATTGAATTCAATTTTAGAGGATAGAAGCAAACATTTGAATAGTTTAAATAATCAACCAATCATTTTGTATAAATGCAATTCGTTAGAGAACATTTTTTTTTGCTTCTCATTCATTGTTTAATTCAAACATTAAAAAAAAAAAGCAATGGCTTCAATGACAAATTCAAATCCTTTACTTGAATATTTGGAAGATGGAAAAGTCTATGATTTAGAATTTGGTGATACATGGAATTCAATTAATGATGGAAATCCATCGAAATATGCTTATCATACAATTAAATGTATAAGAACAATCAATTATTTTTCTTAATTTTTCATGTTTTTTGAAAATTTTTAGATGATTTTAAACCAGCATCTGTTGCTAAATCTGAACAAGCTGAATTAAGTGTCGGTCCAAACCAAGATGTTTCAATTACATTACCAAATGTTGAAGTAAGATCATTTGATCTTTTGTTGTTGTTTTTTTTTAAATATATATTACAAAAAATAAAAATAAATTTAAATATCGAATCATCAATTTTCATTTTCTGAACAAAAAACAAGAAAAATGTTGTTTATATAACAATTTTCTCAAAAAATATCATTTGATATAAAGAATTTGTTAGAATTTTAAAAAAATTAAAATGAATAGAACTAAAGAACATAAATTATGATAAAAATATTCTTTAAGTTTAAATTGATCTTAATGAATATTATGCATAGAAAATTAATTTTACAAATATTTATCCTATAGAAAAACAGAATTTTTCATCAAATGATTAGTTTAAGAAAAATTCGTCTTATTTAAATTGAGAAGTATTATTAAAGTCTACCATTTGAATATATCTAATCAATTGTAATGTATTCAATAGAAAAAAAAATTAATAAGTTTCAATTTGAATATTTAATAGGTAAATAAATATTTGTATATTAGACGTTGTAGCTGCTTGAAAACGTTACACATTACTTTGAAATACTTCCATTTAAGATTTGAGAGAATTCTAAAAATATCTTTTATCGATAGAAAAACAGAATTTTCACCACCAATATAAATGAATATTATTATACTGCACTCAACAAATTCTCATCGTATTTATCAGTTTAAAAGTGTATACTACGAGATTATACTAGAGTAATGGTCATTATTAAGATAATTCAAGGATTTGAGAAAAAAATTTTCCCAAAAATATATAAATTAGTAAAACGTCTTGTTCTAAAATATTATCAATTTTAAAAGTGTGGTAACTATTTCCACCATTGAAATAACGAAATGAAAACTATGATTAGAAATCATCCATAAGAAGAACGTCCGAGAGAAAGAGGAATGAGAGAGTAGTTAAATACATATGACTCTCAGGACGTTTATTTCGAATTTTCATGAATATTTGATATGAGGTGAGTTTTAACAGCGTTTTCAAAGTATTCCATATAGAAATTCTATGATCTCCTATTGAAAAAGTGAATGAAGTGTACTAATCCCAAAATGTATTTTTTGTTTAATATGTAATCAGAACGAAAGATCTGCATTACTCACCTTTTGCTAAATACCAACTGCTCGCGACAGTGTTGAAATGTAATAAAAAGAATTCTGTCGAAAATTCGGCAAGGTCTAATTGAACTTGTTAGAATTCAACAGAAAAAAACGACAGTGCAGTTAAACAGCTAAGCTTTTTCTAGGAAAAATTTTGAAGATCGAATATCCAATGGAGAGGTCGGATGCCATCGATGAGTGACTACGTTGCTTAGCTCGTATCCAAAAGGTACTATGTTCAAACCACGGTAGAACCAGCCGTGGTATGACCTAGGACAAGTCACTAACAACTATTTCTTTCAGAATCACCCATCCGATAGCATACTGACCAAGTTGTGATGTACCTTTGGCCTTGTGGCTAGTTAGTATGTACGGGGAGCTCAAGCGATTGAAAGGAAGAACTCTGAATCAGATCTGTGTTCTGTTCAGAACTACAGCTAGTATTTGTTGTGAGAAAGTTATCGGACTTATGAATCTGCCGTTAGGCAGCACTCCATACCGAAAGGCAGGGAAGAAGTCAAAATAATCGATTTCTGACTGGACATCTTCTATGGATACTCTAATGTGATAGACAGATCAAGAACTGAAAAAAATGCTCACTAGCCATGCATTAAGTATTGGTCACATAATTGTCATTCGTGTCTCCACATACATAACGTTATAAATGCTTTTATCAAACCATAAAGCGCCCATATCCATGTATTCGGTGATACTTTATATTGATCCGATTGCTCACAATTTTTTTTTGTTCAATACTATCATATTCAAAATATTTACGCTGCATTTAACTTAGCCGATCTGAAAATTCACTGATCAAAAAAAAAATATATATTTTTTTTTTTGTTTACTAGGGTTCATTAACTCCATCAACAAAATTTTCTGGTAATACAAAATCATATACGCCAAAAGAATGTTTAATGATAATTGATCCTCATACTGGAAAAATAGTACTTGAACGCTTATCAGCAAATGTTCGCGTCAAGAATGTTCGGTAGAAAACTATTATTATTTTTTTTATACTTTTTATTATTTATTAAAGTAACATTGTTTTTTTCTAAGAGTGGAAAATCGTCCCGTAAATCAACCGATAAAACCTGCAGTTGCACGTGCAAATGTAACTGAATCTCAGCCAGATAAAAAATCAACTAAAACAACAACAACAGCAGCAGTAGCAACAACAACAACAGCAACAGCAGCAGCAGTACCAACAACAACAAATAAATCAACAACACAAAAAGTAACAAATCCTAGTAAACCAATAGTTACTGCACCCGTTAAACCAATGCCAAATAGATCAGTATTGTCACCTGCTGATGATCGACTTAGTGATGAAGAATGTAAATTTATTTATTCGATTTCTTGTTTTCATTTCTTAATAAATTTATTTTCGAATATAAAGCTTCACCAGATCTATTTGAACATGTTCCAATATATCCATCGAATCCAGCACCAGTACAAACACATGTAATGCCTAGACATTTATCACCAAATACACTTGGTTAGATTGATAATTTATTTTATTTTATTTATTCGAAATTATTTTCTATTTTTTCTAGAACAAGATCTTCAACTTAGTGATACAACGGATGAAGAAGATTAAAATATAATTTTTGATTTTTGTTTCTAATTTATTATACTTGCTCGACTTTTTTTTCTTTTGTTACTTCTTTTTTTTGTTTTGTTTTTGTTTATTTCAGATATGACATCAGAAAATAAAGTTGATCGAGCAATTTTATTTTCTCGTATGTTTATATTTACAAAAAAATAGTTTCTTTTGTTTTGCAACTTTTTTCTTTTTAATTTAATTAGAATGTCAATTTTTTATTGATTATTGTTCAAGTCAAAATGGATGTGATCGATCTCTTCGTTTAGGAAATGAATTAGAAAAAAAATATGGTGCTAATATTGTTGAACAACCACAAACTTCTTCTACAACACATATTATTTTTAAAAATGGACGTTTAGAAACAAAATTATTTGCAAAAAAATATAATATACCATTAATTGATCCAATATGGTTAGAACATTGTATTAAAAAAAGAAGATTAATTAAAATTGATAAATATCAAGTTAAGAATGATGAAAATCAACAACCAACAGGTTAATTTTTATTTACATTTGTTTTTTCGAATGAATACATGAATTGAAAGAAATACTGAGTACAGTGCATTATCTAACTAAGGAAGTCTCTCGACTGATTAATCACTTTTGAGCCGATAGTATGTGCATCTTGTAGAGCCTAATGGATTATGAATATTCTGAAAAGAGTTCGAGTTCATAACTTATTGCTGTTGACATATTGTATTTTTCAATACAATACCGTGCTCTTCCTCAGAAACAGTAGGAAAATTCATTTTCGAATTTTGACTTGAAACTTTGCATAGAGATAAGCATTAACGAGAATAGTTAATCGTGAAACTATCAAGCTCATTTGATCTGTTCCTGTCTTGAAATAAGAATATCGAATATGAAGGTATATATGAGCGATGTAAAAGACATGCTCTTGCTATGGCTATATCTTGGAATAGGAATAACGAAAATATTCGAAATTTTTACAATAAACTATTCTCGTCAAAACTTGTTACAAGTTGAAATTCAAAAGTGAGTGTTTTTGAGATGAACCATGGTATTGTATTGAAAAATACAATATGTCAGCAGTAGTAAGCTATGGACTCGAACTTTTTTCGCGGTATTTATAACTCATTAGAATCTAAAATGATGCGTATAGTTCTAATTTAAAAGCAATTAATCAGTTGAGAAATTTCTCTCGTAAATTTTCTCTTCTCAAGAAGGAAAAAATTTACAATGTTGACAGACAAATTTATATTTTTAAGAGACTAACTTCATAGTTCTTCAAGCGATCAATACAAGCGTTATGTTTTTTAGTCCCGAGATGAATAAAACTCTGACACAATGTAAATAAAAAAAAACAACTGTAACTAGAATCCTACGGGAAAAACTTTTCATGTCCGGCTGACTGAGAAGCGGCTGATTGCAGTAGCCGACTTATTGCTTTTCATTCGCTCAGTTGTCATGACATAATCTTCTTCTCGACGCATTGCACAGGACTCAAGTGAGCCACTCGTTCTTCACATCGAATCATTTTCCTTATTCAGTCATACATGACTCAATCTGAAGAAGACTATTCATATTTCAGATGCTACATACAATAGTTTCCTTATATGGGAATACTTAACTAAGAAAAATCTAAACCTAAATTCAAGAAGATAACAACAGACTCTCGTACTTTCTATACTCCAGGGTGTAAAGAAGTAGGTCGTTTCTCCCTTATTGATAACTCATAATTTAGTAATTTTTGGTGAGAAAGTAATTAATCAATTGAAAATGTTTCCTCGTTAGTTCAGTCTATTTATAGATTTTGATATTTATCCTTTATATTTCGAAATATAAATTAAAAACTATTGAATATTTTTAGAACAACTTGCTTTTGATCAATTAGCAATATCAAATCAAGATCTAGTAGTGCCATCTACACCTAAAAATAAGGTTGAATTATTATTTTTATATAATATATTTTGTTATTATTTATATTTTTAGACAGAACAACTACAAAATATAAATATTGATTCAGGAAAAAAAACTAAAAAAGTTCTTTATACACCGATTCGTGGTCAATTTGATCAAGGAAATCCTCATGAATATTTTGATCATCAAAAACGAATAATAACACTTGAAAATTTAGGCATGAATTTACCAGGTAAATTTTCATTTCTTCTTTAAAAAAAAATAAATAAAAATTTCTTTTCAAGATGATAATCATATGTTAATTCATCGATATGGATGTAGTGTTGCTCGTCGACAAATTCAAGAAAATTCTCGTCCTCAATCGAAATTAAAAGGTAAGAAGAAATTGAAAAAATTCTAATTGTTTAATTTTAACATAATTTTTATTTTCTACTTGATATTTTAGATAAAACATTGATTCCTATACAAAGCGACGAATTACCAACAACATTAAGTATTCCATCTCAATCTCAATCATCGCCTATTATTCATTTCGCTAATGTAAAGATAATTAAATCTTTTGTAAAATATCATCTAAAAGGAATGTTGAAGTATAGAGCTAAAAATCGAGATCTACTTTTCCCCCACAACCAACGATAGGCGGCTTAGCAACATCATCCGTCTCATCATAAACTATGGTAGAGATTGTTGATATAGGATCAAAGATCTTATATCAATAACGTCTCGTTCTAATACACGAAGTAACTTCTCGTTGATGAACGATACGTCGGCCGTAATACAAGACTTCCTTTAATTAATTAATTTCTCGCCAAATTGAAAGTTTGATATAGTGTATTTACGCCAAAATATGTCTACTTTTCAGAATTTTTAGTTGAAAAATCTCTTTACAAATCCTCGGAATTGCTTTTGGTTTTTGAAAAACTCTTTTAATTCAAAATTATGAAAATAAATGAGGCTAGAGCTGTAAGCCGAGTGGCTGAGCCACCAGTGTTTTTCGAAAACTTTCGACATTCAAGATCACTTTTCGGGCATGTTCTTATAAAAAAAAAGAGTAAAAACAATCTGCTTTTAACTGGCTTCTTATGATTTATAATTAAATAAAATCAAATGAAATCTATCTTTGAAGCTGAAAACCAATTTTTAATCAACTCAATCAAGAAATGACTGATTTTAACCTTTTTTTTTTGGTTCTGTATGGATAAGTATTTTTTTGTATAGTAACCCAGAGTATGGTATGTGCGTTAAAGGTTGCTCTAGCGTTGTGTTTACTGTTTGTTAAGTCGAGAAGTCTGAAAAACTTACAAAAATTTGAGTTGTTAAATTAAAACTCGAAAAAATCGCATTTTACAATTAATAAGATTAAAATCGATCAGATATTGAATAATCTCATTTAAATTAGACTAAAATCAGGCTTTTTTCTTTGTTTTACATGACTTGTCTAGCATTTTCTATCTTTTTCGTTTTAAAATCTCTTGGAAACCAAAAAGTTTTAAAAAATACTATCGAAAAGGTCGAGTCGCAGCTGCTATTGGCAAAAAACTTTTCCGTTTTTCAGTCGCCGATCAACCCATTGGTTTACACCTCTAAATGAGACACAATAGGAGACCGCTCTGAAAAATTTGTACGCTTGAATATAATAGAAGACCCAAGGGTTTCCTATTATGGGAGGCAGGAAGTACTTTCTCATTGTATTTCTGAAGGATTAAATCAAAGAATGGTGAAGAAATCTTTCCCAAAATAGAACCAATAGAACAATCTTCCTGTGATTAGCAATAGCAGCTACATCGTGTTTCATATTTTAATCCTACAGATATTGCGCTAACAGCTGTTTATATTTATGATAAATATAATCATTTATTTTTTCTTAGCCTATTCGTCAAGTTCCAAATCCTAGAATTCAAATTGTTGTTTCTCCTTCAACAACATTTGATTTTGATAATGAACAAAATTATGCTGCATTAGGTAATCTTCCTCAATCAACTCCAATATTACGTCCAACATTACCATTAAATAATATTGATAATAATCAATCAAATGAAATTTTAATTGAAAAAAATCTTGAAAATTCAAAAGAAAAACAATTAATAACACCATTAAAAACAATTGATTATACATCATTTACTAAAGTAACACCCTTAAATCAAATAAATAATAAAACAAAATCAAGAATTCGATTTGAAATATGTCATAATGATAATGATGATGATGATGAAAGAGATTTAATATTACCACAAGTTAAAGAAATACTTCGTGAACTTGAAATATCAACAAATAATGATCGAATTATTCCACGACCACCACCACTTCTTGCACTTTCACAAGCTATTCGAACTAAACATCCTGAACAATTAATTGATACAAAATTACATAATCAATTACCATCTATTCAAGATTTACCAAATGCACCAGCTAATTATTCATTTGTTTTTTATGGATTTACATCAACGTATGTTTAAAGAAATTTTTTTTTTTTTAGTTTTTTTTTGATTTTTTATTTTATAGACAATTAAAAGAAGCTAAACGATTAACACGTCGTATGGGTGATTGTTTTTCATTTGAAACAATTGATATGACAATAACACATGTTATTTTACCTGATGATGATCCTCAAATGACATTAACACTTGATCTTCTTCTTGCATCGATTTATGGATGGTTAGTTTTTT